TGTGTCCCCTCTTCTCCATGTCTCTCTACATCAACATGTGTCCCCTCTTCTTCATGTCTCTTCTACATCAACATCTTACTACATCAACATGTCGTCCCCTTCTCTTCATGTCTCTTCTACATCAACATGTCGTCCCCTCTTCTTCCTTCATGTCTCTTCTAAATCAACATGTGTCCCCTCTTCTTCATGTCTCTTCTACATCAACATGTGTCCCCTCTTCTTCATGTCTCTTCTACATCGACATGTGTCCCCTCTGTGGAGGGATACTCTGAAAGTTTCAGGAACAAAGATTCTCTCTCTTTTTTATCCATTTCTATAAAAATCTGAAAATGAGCTGATCAGATTTTGGCCACTTTATGATGTCATAATGATGTGTTGTCTTGTGACACCATTAGCCAATAAGCAACCAAGGTAACCCCCCTTATCACCTGAATCTCCTCCTAGAGCTCCATTGAGTTCTTTGTAACCAAATGTCTCTCAGAGGGGCGTGGGGAGGGGCTCCTTATTTTCATCTAAAGTAACAGACAGAGAATCAGCACTTTGGATTGGAAACAGGGCTGAAACAGAGGGGATTATGGGTAATGTTGCAATGATCTGTTTGGTGTTTCAGCCAATCAGAGACAGGCTCTGTATATATCTGAGAGCTGTGATATATTGATGAGAAACAGTATGATAGGGGATCAAAGTGTTAATGTTGATGTAAAGAATGTTGAATGTCTGAAAATGTGCTTTATAAATAAACATACCGTACCTTTACAAATTATTATTATTATTTTATCCTCAGGGCCCCCAAGGGAAGGAAGGCACAACGGGCCCCCGAGGCGCCACAGGACCCATGGTGAGACATTTAATGCTTATACATTTGTACAGTAGATGAGAAAAACATGGTAACCTAGAATAAGCAATTTTGCGTTTAAGTGTCAGTTTTTAGAGCAAAGAAAACAAGACTAAGTTACTTTTCATAAATCAATATTCATCAATCAGAATCTGAGTATTTGATTTAGTCCAGGGGGAATTTAGTAGTTCAGTAGTTAGTCTCCTCTATTGGCAAACCGTTCATATTCAGTGGACCTTTTGTCAATTGTTAATATATTGAAATCGCTGGTCTTCTAACCCCGTGGTTCTTCCGTCTGTTTCCTGCAGGGACCTCCGGGATCTCCTGGAAATTCAGGTGGAGTCGGAAAACCAGGAAACCCCGGAGACACCGGATCTCCTGTGAGTGTCTTCACCTTTACATCCAGACACAGATTCAAACGTTTTCTGCAAACTAAAGTCTTCTCGTTTTCTGTTTCCAGGGCTCTCTCGGTCTAAAGGGAGACAAGGGAGAGAGAGTGAGTACATCTGAATTTATTTTAAACATCTTCAGAAGCTCGAAAACATCACATTTTAATCCAAAGTGAGATTTATCTTTGCTGCACAGCAGGAAATCACCCTTCCTTACAAGTCATTTAAATGCCTTCAAGCCTTTTACTGTTTCCACAAAACACCAACGTGGGCACAATGCAGTCCGTCCCCTTGCATTTCCTAAAAACGATTATACTTTGGTACTGAGAGCTTCACTTCACTTCCTGCAAAAATTCTAAGAGAAAATCTAGTCTTAGGAAGGGGGGAAGAAGCTCCAAAGCCTGAACGAATAACCTCTATATTTACATTTCACTCACAATATTTCCCACAATCAAAAACTAACTTGTATATTTTCCTTTGACTTTGAATCGCTATTCTAATAACCAGAAGTAAGGACATTTCATTTGGGCGGTTTGCACGTGTCGGCCTCTGTACGGTAGCACAGTTTTGTGTCGTCTAACCTCCTTCCTCTTCCTCCTCAGGGCGACTTCGCTCCTCAGAACATGATGAGATCCATCGCCAGACAAGTGTGTGAGCAGCTGGTGAACGGTGAGATGCTCTCTGAGACTACAGAGATACTTTGATAAACATTAGGTGCTTCTTTACTGCAGCGGTCAGCCTCTAAAACCTCCACACATACAACAACAAGGGCTCTGACACCAGTGTAGTATGATTACATAGTGTTTATAGTAATTGATATACTATTTTTTATTCTCATTAACAGTATGTGTATTTTAATGTTGATCACACTGGTCCTGTAACTAAATAATCTACATATCTACCTACCGACCTACCTACCTACCTACCTATCTACCGAACGACTGACCGACCTACCTACCTATCTATCTACCGAACGACTGACCGACCTAACTACCTATCTATCTACCTACCTACCTACCTACCTACCTACCTATCTACCGACCTACCTACCTACCTACCTATCTACCGAACCGACCGACCTACCTACCTACCTATCTACCTACCGACCGCCCGACCGACCTACCTACCTATCTACCGAACGACCGACCTACCTACCTACCTACCTACCTATCTACCGAACGACCGACCGACCTACCTACCTACCTACCTACCTACCTACCTACCTACCTACCTACCTATCTACCGAACGACCGACCTACCTACCTACCTACCTACCGACCGACCGACCGACCGACCTACCTACCTACCTACCTACCTACCTATCTACCGAACGCC